GCAGCATTCACAGTAGTAGGTGGTAAGACTGGTAATCCAAGCCTTTACTTAAAAAGCATTTCTTGGCTTTACAAAAATAGTTTTGCCTGCACATTACAATGTATGATAAAGAAAGAAATAAAATGAGCAGGGAAATATGCATGTTTTAATTGTAAGAGTTTAAAGAAGAATTCCTGAAAGATACATCCTGTGTGGCCACTATGCACTGCCTAGATGAGTACTCTAAAAATCTGAACATCCTCCCCCCACCATCCTTGGGTGCTAGGACCACTGGCATCCTTACAACCACAACCAGTAACATCACATCCCCCCCTCCCCCCCGCTTCCCAGGCACTAATGTAATGGGGGACATTGATGCAAGATGAGTCATTGATGTAAGAAATACTCTGATGTAAGAGGGAAAACTGATATATAGGGGGACTATGATGTGGGGGGGGGACTTTGCTGTGTAAGGGCAAACTGATGTAAGAGGGGTTGATGATTTAAGGGGGGCACTGATGTAAAGGGGGCTCTGATGTAACAGGGGATACTGATATAAAGGGGAACACTGATGTAAGGGGGCACTGATGTAAGGGGTCTATGAAGTTCTTCTGTAAGGTTTGCTGAAAAGCATATTTAATGGAAGGAGCTTCTTTTTTATTCATTGTGCTGAGTGTTATACATGTCTGTTATTCAAGTTTTTTTTAACTATGCCCTTTAAGACCCTCCAAATGTTAACGCAATCTGACCACACCCACTGTTTGGCATGGTGTGCTGTGCACACCACTTTACTGCTAAAGATTGTAAGGTTGTATTTATTTGTTGTTTCTAATCAGACTATAAAGCCATACCCAACATTTAGCATCATTTAACCACACAACATGCTACACATGATGCAGGTCACCATCTCCCTACTGTGTCCTCCATTCTCAAGTCAAATGTTGGGAGGTACAGGTCTGTCAACAGGGTATGGTGAATCTTGAGATCAATTCACATGTAGGTGTCCATCTATGTTGAGATAATAAGTCTGCAAGCATGTACAACTGCTAGAAAAATGTAACAAGGGTAAGCTGATATTATAATTATGTGTGTATCCAGACATGGGGCTACAGTAACAGGGAAAATTAGACAATGTCCTCTGTGATATATAAAGAAAGGATGGTAGGCGCAAAAGCTACTGTCCCTCTTAATAGAATTTTAATTGTAACTCAAATTAAGAGTCCTTATCGGCCCATCACTAGAGCAAGCTGATCCAGGAGCTGAAACAGGCTCTATGGCACACAGGGAGTAAGAACAAAGGAAAAGTACCTGTAAGTGTAGAACACCAATGTTTTATTAAAACCAAATGTAGGGCAACTCACAAGGTCCGAGGTACACAGCCGGCGACAGATTGCGCCGCTGCACAGCTATGCTGGCAGGCAAACTGCGCATGCCTAAAAGGATGCCATATGGTGTCCACCCGGAGGGACGAGGTGCTCGCCCGGCCGCCATCTGGCCATAGGCTGGGCGGGAACCGGTTAAATATTGCCATATTTAAGATGGGATTTCTAATGGTTTATCAAAACTGAACTCTCTCAACCGTTCGTACTTTCTTAAATTCTACTCACTTTATGCTTATGACATAAAAATAATTTTTTATAGTGATGGAATCCTTGAGATATCCATTTTCACGCTATTAAGCAAGATTTACTGTATTCTATTGCTCTTAAAGGGATAGGAATGGTTATTAGTTCTCCCAAAAACTCAGATTTAGATAGTATATGTTTCCAAGCAAAGTTGATTTTATAGTAAGGAATTTGGGTATAGCTACCTTAGGCAATAAGATAAATGCTATAGCATTCCCATAGTAACTTCCCTTTTAATATTAACCCATACTTTTAACCTCCGTCAGCTTTGTTAGATGGTAACAAGGAAAATACTACACTGGGTTTCTTGCCATTCCAGATCAGATTTTTTAACTTAGAGTTGATTTGAATGAAAAATGTAAAGGGTACTGGTATTGGGAGAGAGCGGAAATAGTAAAGGATTTTGGGTAATGTTTGCATTATAAATGCTGCTATTTTCCCAACCCAGGAAAGTTGTGTTTTTGAATGCATTGGAAATTTTTATTAATTTGTTCTGTTGATTTAGGGTAGTTAGTTTCGGATATTTTAGCAGGAGGAAAAGTAAATTGTATTCCTAAGTATGGTATAGAAGGTTCATCCCAATTAAATCTAAATTCTTTCCTCAAGTTATCACATGATGTAGAAGGTATATTCATGGTTAATTCATTTATTATGGTTAATTTGTAATAGGATGCTCTCCCAAAGGTTTCTAAATTTTTTTGTACCACTCTTAGGGAGGTATCCAGCTCAGAAAATGCTAGGCTTATATCATCAGCAAATAGTCCTAGTTTATGTTCAGTTTTACCTACTTTAATACCTTTGATATCCTTATTGGAGCGAATAGCTTCTGCAAGCCAGTGAGAAGATTATGGGTGATAGAGAGCAACCTTGTCTGGTCCCATTTGTTAAATTAAAACTTCTGGATATCATTCCTAATGTATAAACCTTAGCTGAGGGTTGTGTAAATTAGGACATTATAGCCTTATGAATAAATCCTTTGAAGTCAAATTTTTTTAAAGTTTCTGAAATGTAACCTCAATGGATTGTTTACATGTTGGATCATATTGATCTTCCGTCTAGTTCTCTCTGGTGTTTGATGAACTTTTGTAAAATCAATCTGATCTGGACCTATAAGAAATGGGGTTAGTTCCATTAGGAGTAGAGCCAGAATATTTGCATAAATTTTAAGGTCACAGTTTAGAAGTGATGTTGGTCTATAGTTAGAAGGGGAAGTGGTGTTTTTTCCCAGGCTTGGGGATAATAATTGTTAAGACCTCTAACATTTCTTTTGGAAAATTATTATTACTAGACGTGATTAAACAAATCAGTGAGATAAGGAGTTAAAACATCCACAAATGCTTTGTAATATTCAGCAGACAGGCCATCACTTCCTGGTACTTTTTTATTTAGGAGGGACTTGATAACTTTAAGGGTTTCCTCCTTTGTAATTGGTTTAATAATTAATTGTACAGTAGAAGGGTACATTTTTGAAAGGGTAATTTTATCTAAGAATTCCACTATAATGTTTGTAGCGGTTGAAGAGTGTTCTTATCTTTATTCAAATTATATAGAAGTTCATAGTATTCCGAGAATGTATCAGTTGTATGTCTTATGGATTATACTGTAAATAGTTGCAAGAAAAAGTATGTGAACCCCTTGGGATTACGTGGAGTTTTGCATGAATTGGCCATAAAATGTCCTCTGAACGTCATCTAAGTCACAACAACAGAAGAACACAGTCTGCTGAACATATTACTACACAAACATTAGATGTTGCCATGGTTTAATTGCACATAACATGTAAACATTCACAGTGCAGGGAGGAAAAAGTATGTGAACCTTTGGACTTAATAACTGGTTGATCCTCCTTTGGCAGCAATAACCTCAACCAAACATTTCTTGTAGTTGCAGATCAGACCTGCACAACGATCTGGAGTAATTTTGGACCACTCCTCTTCACAAAACTGTTTCAGTGTAGCAATATTCTTGGGATGTCTGGTGTGAATTGCTCTCTAAAGGTCATGCCACAGCATTTCAATTGGGTTGAGGTCAGGACTCTGACTGGGCCACTCCAGAAGGCGTATTCTGTGCTGTTGCAGCCATTGTTTTGTTGAATTACTTGTATGCTTTGGGTCATTGTCCTGTTGCATCACCCATCCTCTGCGGAGCTTTCAGTTGGCAGACAGATGGTCGTATGTTTTCCTGCAAAATGTCTTGATAAACTCTGGAATTCATTTTCCCATCAATGACAGCAATCCGTCCAGGCCCTGAGGCAGCAAAGCAGCCCCAAACCATGATGCTCCCTCCGCCATGTTTTACAGTGGGGATGAGGTTTTGATGTTGGTGTGTGTACTGTGCCTTTTTTTCTCCACACATAGTGTTGTGTGTTCTTCCCAAACAACTCAATCTTGGTTTCATCTGTCCACAGTATATTTTGCCAGTAGTGCTGTGGAACATCCAGGTGCTCTTTTGCAAACGTCAAACGTGCTGCAATATTCTTTTTGGACAGCAATGGCTTCCTCCGTGGTGTCCTCCCATGTACTCCTTTCTTGTTTAATGTTTTCCTTATTGTAGATGTGTCAACAAAAATGTTAGCATGTGCCAGAGATTTCTGTAGGTCTTTAGCTGACACTCTGGGATTCTTCTTTACCTCATGCAGCATTCTGCGCTGTGCTCTTGCAGTCATTTTTACAGGACGACCACGCCTAGGGAGAGTAGCAACAGTGCTAAACTTTCTCCATTTGTAGACAGTCTGTCTTACCGTGGACACATGAACATCAAGGCTTGTGGAGATACTTTTTTAACCCTTTCCAGCTTCATGCAAGTCAACAATTCTTGATCGTAGGCCTTCTGAGAGCTCTTTTCTGCGAGGCATGGTTCACATCAGACAGTGCTTCTTGAAACCAGTAAACCCAAAACAGGTGTGTGTTTTTTTAAGGGCAGGACAGCTGTCAGCAACACATCCAATATCATCACACTGATTGGAGTCAAGGTTGGCTCACTCCTGGCTACAATTAGCCCTGGGAGAAGTCATTAAGCTAGGGCCTCACATACTTTTTCCTCCCTGCGCTGTGAATGTTTACATGTTATGTGCAATTAAACCATGGCAACATCTAATGTTTGTGTAGTATTATGTTCAGCAGACTGTGTTCTTCTATTGTGACTTAGATGAGGTTCAGAGCACATTTTATGCCCAATTCATGCAAAACTCCACGTAATCCCAGGGGGTTCACATACTTTTTCATGCAACTGTATAACTTTACTAGTTTTATGATGGATTAATTTATTAATTTTATTTTTATTTTGGTGATGATGTAATTGGGAGACTAATAGTTTCCCTGCTCTATTATTCTGAGAATAATAGTTAAGTTTCAATTTTTTAAAGTACTTACCGTATTTTCCAAAAAAAGGGGGGAAATGTCAGTGCGTCTTATGGAGCGAATATGGAGAGTCCGGTCTGGTATTTCCACTGCCGCCGTGTCAGAATACTGGGCTGGCTGCTCAGCTCTGCAGCGGAACCTTATGGAGATGACTGCTGACCTTTGGGGAGGTGGGGAGTGGGTACCTGAATTTGACAGGTACCCGCTCTTACTTCTGCGGAGTTGTTCATTGACCTTATCTGTTCCTCTATCCAGTGGCGCGCTGTCTTCCCAGCTTCTGTAGTGTGGGCGCGCTGGACTTGACAGCCGGGTGCCAAGTGCGCATGCGCAAGAAGCGGTGCTTTTTGTGAATGGTAAGGCGGTACCTGGGACACATGACAGATCCCAGAAGCCGCCGGACCAATCACAAAGCGCAAGTGCTTCTCGCTCATGCGCACTGGTCATCCCTGTGCTGTCCACAGTCTCTGGTCATCTCCTGTACTATGTCTGCAGTCCATTAGTTCAGAATTTTTTTTTCCCCTGTTTTCTGCCTCTAAAACATAGGTGCGTCTTATGGTCAGGTGCGTCTTATGGAGCGAAAAATACGGTATCTTGCTCTGCAATCAGCATAGTTCTCTGATCATTTCTTTTACTATTAAGTTGAACAGGATTTTGGGGGGTAAGTTTATGACTCTCTTCCAGTTTAGTTATATTCTTCATTAAGTTTTCTGTATTACTTGATCTCCTTTTTTTGTCCTTTGCAGATATCTGTATTAGTCTACTAATGCTTTGTGGGAATAGCATAGGGTAGGCCTTGTCGTAGAGTTGTTATCATTAAGCAAAAACAATTATTTTATTCTTTCTTTCATTACAGACAAATGTTTCCTTTGAGCGAGAATATAGGTATTATTATTCCATATAGTTGTATTAGAGTATTGTTTTCCAGTCGCTATTGTTAGTGTTATTGGTGCATGGTCAGACCATGTTGTGTTGTGAATTCGAGCTTCAACTATTTTTTGCAAAAGAGCTTTGTTTGTAATGAAGTAATCAATCCTTGAATAAGTCTTATGTACATTTGAGAAAAATCTATAATCCTTTTCAGTGGAGTGGAGACACCTCCAAGGATCATGCACGTCCTCTTGGCAGAAAAAGATTTTTACGTCTTTCCCGGAGGCGTAGTTTTTCTTGGTAGTGTCCATAGTGTGGTCCCAGGAGCGATAAAGTCTCCACAGATGATAGTGTAACCTGTTTGAAGTTTACAAACTTTTATTAAAATCTTCTTAATAAAATGGTGAGGTTGCTCATTTGGAGAATATATATTGGCAATGGTGTAGGTTATATTATCAACTACAGCTACTAATATCACATATCGACCTTGGAAATTTGTGATGTGTAAATTTGGGTGGTTTATCTTTAGAAAAGTGCGCTTCTTGGACACAGATGATGTCACAATCTAATTTTATAGCATCAGTCTATAGAGCTTTCTTTTTGTATGGGCTATTAAGCCCATTAACATTCATTGACAGAAGTTTAAGTCTCATTATATGGAGAAAAATAAGTTGAGATCAGGAAGTAGCTTTCCCAATGGGAAGCATAAGCCATTTAAAGCCAATGAGCCTTTTAGAATAATACCAACCCCGGAGGTAGAAAATAATGATCTCGTTAGTAGATAGAAAAGTGAAATAAACTTAACAAAAAAATATAAGTGAACAATAAAAAAGATTGAGTTGCGGGGCAACTCCAGTGTGCATAATGATGTGCACTTGTATCATGGGGAAAAGGAAAAAAGAAAAAGTTAGCAGCCTTCAGAGCTTGAGGCTCCCTGTGTAATGGAGTACCTGTGATATAAAACTGCCCTCCAGAGGATTTACCCCTTCCTGACCAGGGCATTTTTTGCGTTTATGGTGCAATTGTGCAGTCATGCAATGCTACACCCAAATTAAATTTACGTCCTTTTTTTCCCAGAAATAAAGCTTTCTTTTGGTGATATTTGATTGCCTGTGTGTTTTTTTATTTTTTGCGCTATAAACAAAAAAAAAGACCGACAATTTTTAGAAAAAAACAATATTATTGACTTCTTGCCATTTACCGTATCCAATAAAAAAATAAAAAAATAAAACTTCATCATAAATTTAGGGCAAAATGTATTCTGCTGCATGTCTTTGCTAAAAAAAAAAATCCCAATACGTGTAAAGTAATTGGTTTACGTGAAAGTTATAGCGTTTACAGATGGCGGTATATATAGTGAAATTTAACCACTTCCTGTCTGGACACTTTTACCCCCTGCCTGTCTAGGGCAATTTTCAGCTTTCAGCGCTATCACACTTTGAATGACAATTGCGCGGTCATGCAACACTGTACCCATATGAATTTTTTACCATTTTTTTGAGACAAATAAAACTTTATTTTGGTGGTATTTATTCACCGCTGGGATTTTTATTTTTTTTTGCTATGTAAATGAAAAAGTCCAAAAATTTTGAAAAAAAGTGTTTTTCTTATAAAATTTTGCAAATAAATAATATTTCGTCATAAATCCTGGCCAAAATGTATTCCGTTATCTTTTTAGTAAAAAAAAAAAAAAAGAGCCAAATTAGTTTATAACCAAAAATTACAATTTTTAAACTTTTTTTTACATTTTTATTTTATTTTTTTTATTATAATTTTTTTTTTTTTTTTACGTACGGTCACCCTAGCAGTATAGTGTCACCATGGTGACACTGTACTACTTGTGGGGGGTGATGAAGGTTTTTTTTTTTTTTTACACCCATATAGGATGTAAAAGCAATCATTTCTCTTTCTCTCTGTCTGCATTCTTGCAGCAGCCATTGAGAACTACTGAGTGAGCTGTGATTGGTCACAGCTTGTCACATGGTACAAGGGCTATTGTGAATAGCCTTGTACCATGTGACCTCTGTGATCATTCACAGATTTCACTACTTTGCATGTGATCGCTGATTGGCCAATCAGCGATCACATGATTGGGACCTCGAGGTAGAGGTCCAGTCCGACGATCGGTGTTTCACGGAGGACACAGCGGGCACCGGATCGCAGTGCTGCACGCTCCCAGGGAGCGCGCACAAGCAGGGTGCGGGGAGGCCGTAAACCCTGCAGTGCCACCGTCCGGCTGTTTATATACAACGGCCGGAAGGGAGGTGGTTAAAAATGTTTTTTTTTTCACTAGTAATGGCGGTGATCAGCGACTTATAGTGGGACTGCGGGACTGCGGCGGGCATTCTGACACTGGGGGGAACTGACTTGGTGTCACTGACATCCCCATTGACACCAATACAATGATCAGTGCTAATAAAAAGCACTGACACTGTATTAAAGGCACTGGGCAAGAAGGGATTAACACGTGGGGTGATAAAAGGGTTATGTGCTTTGTGCTGTTTCACAGTGTGCTGTGTGTGTGCTTTCAACTGTAAGCACACTGCTTTGTATGGCTGTGTTATGCAGAGTCATACAAAGCAGTGTGCAGGAGCTGACAGGGGAGAGAACTGTATTTGTTTGCATACAGTTCTCTCCCCCATCGGTAATACTCAGAGATCACTGAGTGCCAGCAAGTAATCACCAGCCGGAACTCGGTGATTGACAGCCAAATGACAGCGAAGGGTAGAGCGTGCGCACCCCCTACCCAGACCTGATAAATCACATTGCGCACCCATGTCACCCTGTAGCAGTATTTCTGCTATAGAGCGGACGAGAATCAAGTTAAGTAATGAAGCAACAAAGTTGAGGAGGCGATAGCTTGCATAGGACAAATATTCCTTCTGGTAAGAGAAAACTGCATTAACCATTATTAGAGTGCCATTGCGCAGGGATTTTTCCAGGTGATCATTTTTCTAAATATTTACCTTTAGCGTCAGGCAAGAAATTCCAGGATTTAGGCATCTTCAGGCCATACTCCATTATAGAAACTGAGTAAGAGGTGTTGTTCTGCTAAATGAGTAGTTTAATAAGGAAACCCCATTTATAAACTATATTATGGTTGTGGAGGATTTTGGTTATAGAGTTTAGATTTTTCCTTGCCAAAATGGTGATTTGGGAGAGATCGGAGTAAAGAATAATGCCCACATAGGGATCCGGTTGGGGAGAGTGTTGCATCAATTGATCTTTCAAATGGAAGAAATGTATTTTAGCTATAACACCTTAAGGTAGTTTTTCTGGTATATGTGGTGGTTTAGGCAGTCTATGGATCTCAGTTTAGGATCTCATATCCTGCTGAAGAGCACCTCTTAGAGATAACAATATCTCTGATCATCTTTGATTGTTGTATCTAATATAGGTTGGCCTGAAGTGGGAAAATCATTCAGCTTATCACTGTATGAGTTGTTTGTTAGCCTTTGAATCATCATCAATAAAGCCACTCACATGTTCATTATAATCCAATATTTTCCTCCTCTGCTTAACAGGGCAAGGGCTTGGGAAGTGACATTGCTGTGTGCTTGCAGCTCCATGTGTCCGCTCCCCTCATCCTTAGTCTTAGTAGTTTGCCGTCCTGTGCTGCAGTGCGAGGAGGAGTCAGCACCATTTTGCTTCAAGGGAGACCCAGCCGGACTGTGAAACTTGCTCAGTTTGCTGGGAGCTTCTCTGTTTTTCCGCTTTCCAATAGCGATCATCCAGCTCACCGCTCTCTCCCGTCTCTGTCTGTACTCTCAGGTAAGCTGTGTGTTGCCTCTAGTCACTGCAGGGATACTCACTGCTCCAGAGCTCTGTTATGTTGTGGTCATACACCTCCACTGCCAGCCACACTCCCCCGCCACTGTGAGGGATTTTCTTTTGGAACTTTGGTGAGCAAAATTATAGGTTTGCTATTGAGGAAACTGCAGACATGCAGCATTCTCTACAAACCCAAACTCAAGTATGAACCCAAACCTTATCATTATCCTTGAAACTTAATAAAGCAATGGGCCCAGATGGTATTCATCCCAGAGTTCTAAGAGAACTTTGAGGTATAGTTCTTGGACCATTAATGGATCTTTTTAATCAATCTCTTCTAACAAGAGAAGTTCCCTATAACTGGAGGACAGCAAATAATGTACCTAACCACAAGAAGGGCAGCAAGGTAGAATCTGGCAATTAAAGGCCAGTGAGTTTAACATCGGTTGTAGTCAAGTTAGTGTAATCACTCCTGAAAAGAAGAACACACAACTTACTGGACCAAAGCAGCAGGGCTTTACTGAGGGCAGGTCATGTCAGACTAATCTGATTGAATTTTTTAACTATATTACCAACAATTTGGACCAGGGCAGTGCTGTGGACATAGCATACAGTATCTTGATTTCAGCAAGGTATTTGATACAGTTTCACAGAATGATCTAATACAAAAGTTGTACAAGCTTGGGTGGGTCAGTGGATATGCAGTTGACATAAGGATAGATACCAGAGTGTGGTTGTAAATGTGGTTCACTCAGAACAGAGGCCAGTCACTAGTGGTGT